CCCCCCCCCCCCCACACACACACACACACACACACTTACTTCTCCCCCTCCCATGTTTTAAGACCTTGTACAGCAAATTTATACAATTAAGTCCACCGTTCGGGTCTTTCACCAGTTCCTTTCCAGGTGTTGGGGACCAGCTAAGCAGCAAGCCTGCGATGGCCAGTCCCCGGTGGTCCCCTTTACCTGTCCGCTGAAATACTTCTACTGGATCCTAAGAGGATAATGCCGCTTGACAGCCAATGGAATGCATCCATGTCAAGCAGGCAGGGTAGGGGGTTGTGTGGCTTTAAATAAAAAATAATGGATCTACTGGCATCCACTGTATTATCACTAATAAAAGACTGCATTAAATGTTTTTTTTATTTTGCCCATGCTCCAACACTTTCACATTAATTGAGGTTTAATGTTTCTCAATGTGCAGTTCCAGTGCTTCCAATGTGTATATCAATAAATGAAAAGCATAAGAAAGCACTTCTGGCTTAAAATTGCCTCAAACTTGAGTTTGTTTTAGTATTAACCATATATATCATGTTTTTGTGAACAAAACCTTTGACAAGGATCACAGGGGGTGAAGTTCCTAAAATGTGTTGTGAGTATAAATTACTAACAAACTGATATAAGCCATCAGATTGCCTCCTTCTTTGTTTTTATTTCCATGTCTGCATTCACATCAGTGTGAGGATTATGAAGCCATTAATGCTCATCTCTTGTTATTACCAGCTGTTTCTTTTGTGCTTTATATACCCATTATTGTTCCACAAGCTTTATCTATGAAGCATTTTAGACTGATTTTAATTGGCATAAAAAAAGACATTATTCCTCACTACGTGAACTTCATCAGTAGCCCTTGAGAGTAGTTTGTTCATTATCCCAAGACTATAAGAGCACTTGTAACACATGACAGCATTCTATCTGCATTATGACTGCTGAATATCTGTAGGTTTTCAAAGGACATTACTTAGCCAGCCTCTCTTAAAGGAGAACTATGAGATGAGTGATTTCCACTTACCTCATAGTTCTAGCCGAACTGTGACAATGAGACTGTCACAGGTCGGCTCAGTAGATCGGGAGGTGAGCGAACACATACCGGGTTCCCTCACGTCTCGATCCTGTCACGGCTCTCTGCCGTGACAGGGGGAGGGGCTGGATTCCCCTCTCCCCGCTCCGATCTGCCAGCGCTGACTGGCGGAACGGACGGGGGAGGGGGCGGGTACAGCTGGCTCTGCCTCTAGATAGGCAGAGCCAGCTGTCACTCACGCAGCTGGGCGGATCCCGTCATCTATGTCGGGATCCGCTCCAGCTGCGGCGTCTCAGTATACCGCGAGCTGTAGCTCGCGGTATACTGAGCTTAGGGTGACGGGAGGACACTAGTTTGTGTCCTCCCGTTACCCTAAGGAGAACTATGGGGAAAAGCCCTGACCCCATAGTTCTCCTTTAATGTTACAATGTGTATTGACTACAGATCTGTGTAATAGCTGTATGATACATTTTCATCATTGCAAACTGGCTGGGAACCAGTCTGAAGAGTATACTTCCGATTCCTTTGCTCAATATTAAGGAAAAATAAAGTCAGAAGGTTTTCCTGCCTGATAACAAGTTATTCAGAATATTAGAGGTGCTTGTTCTCACCTTGTAAGACAAAGGAAATGGTCTGAGAATCACAAGTGATGCTTGAAATGAAGAAATAACTTGTTTTTGTTGGCCTTTTCTGGTTAACCCAAGGTACCCATACACATGACATCATTGTGGCTAAAGCTGGCATTATTCCAGTATAATTTCATTCAAAATTATTTGTTTTTGGAACGTGCATTTCATTTTCTAATAGTTAATGGCTTCAAGCCAACAATTTTTTTTGACTGCAGCGTCAAGAGTCAAATGAGCTCGATGGAAAATTGTTCTTAAACAAAAATCCAACAGTAAATGTGGTTTTTGTTAGAGAAACGCCATTCTTTTCCAAAACCAAATGTTGAAATCAAACAAGCTTTTAAAGCCATTTGTCAAGTCTCTGATGGCATTATCTAATGTTCTGACAAGCTTTTTCGTATGAATGAAAATATAGCAGTATATGGTCATCTTTATGCCAGATGATTATTGTTTGTTTATGGGCATTCTTGTAGGTTTGAAGACACCCCTCTTATCTTGTGAAAAGAAGCAATTGTCTACTATGGTATTTTGTAGCCAGTCACGAATTGTCCGCTTAGATAAGGCGCTGGTCAGAGATATCTGGTCTTAACATAAGCCTGCCCTTGTTAGCTTGTCTATTAATGCCATGATTGTTCAAAAAAATCTTCCAACCACTAGGTACCTTTAGACTTGAAACAACATTAGCTGCAATTATTCATGTGTGAAATATATTAAGATAATCTAGTGTTACTTTAATATGGAAAATATGTTGTTTCACTGATTATTTTTGTGTCACAGCAAATGTCCACTTCAGATGGCCTAATTCAACGGTCTGGAGGGAAGGAAAGACCCTTTGTGCTAACAAGGTCTTTCTTTGCTGGTTCACAGCGTTATGGTGAGTTTTTGTGATTTATTTTTCAACAAAGTCCATCATTAGAGTTAATGACATAATCATTGAGATAAGGATTTGATATTGAGATAAATAAAAACAAGCTACTTCCCTGTAGTCCAAAATGTTAAAACATGCTGGAAATAATTTATAGACTTTACACATAAATAACTGCACAGACTAAGCTTGGGTAAAATTCAGAAGATAAAATCTGAGATCAGACAAACTGTATAAGATTTGTGGAATGTGGAAGAAAAAGTTTGGACCATCCTCTTAATATTGACATATTGAATACAAAGATGCTCAAACACATCCTATTATAGTTGCATATATGAAGTAATATGCAGGTGGGTTGGTAGGCGTCGTAACCACAAACTTAAAAAGGTATTTTTGTACTCACCGTAAAATCCTTTTCATGGGGTCTGTTGAGGAACACAGGAAGTCTGAAACATTGAGGTTATTCTGCTGCCTATTGGAGGATTGGACATCGGCAAGCAAATAATCTGTAGGCCAGCCCAGGATAATTCCCCCTGCTACCAGCATGCTGCAGTTTGGTAGATAAGCAGTACCAACAGCATGATCAAAAACACAGAAGGTTGGAACCTGTGTTCCTCAATGGACTCCCTAGTAAAGAATTTTACAGTGAGTACAAAAATTCTATATTCTTTTTCATTGATTGAAGGACACAGGAAGATCTTAAACCTTTGGGACATCCAAAAGCAGTTCTGTTTAGGGGTGAGCAACACAGAAAACAAACATTAACAAGAACCAAGAAAATTACAAAGAAAAAGACAACAGAACTGGGGGCTGCCTGCAGCTCAAACAGCCGCCTGAAGGACCTCATGTGTGAGGCTGAAACGTCGATCTTAGATCTTGGAGAATGTATAAACAAAAAACCAGGTAGCAGTTTTGCAAATCATAGAAACAGTTGTCTGATGCCAAAAGCACAAGCACTGACAGATCTGGTAGGGTGCACCTTGACAGGAAAGGGTAGAAGCCAATCCTTCAGACAATAAACTTAGATGGTGGCCTGTCTGGGCCACTTAGAGATGGTGGAAGGAGGAGCCAGTGCACCCTTTCGGGTCACTCGGGATGAAAAAAAGGAGATCTGTCTTTCTGAAATAAGCAGTAGCTGAGAGAAAGACTGGAACAGCCCAAACCACATCCAGACTATGTAGGGGAATTTCCCTCTGGTGATCTCCAGCCAGACAGAGGTACAGAAGAACAATTGAATTGTTGAGGTGAAAGGCAGAAAGAACCTTAGACAAGAAAGAAGTCATGGGCCTCAACACCACCTTGCCTCTGTGCAAAAGTAATAAGGGTTTCTTGCAGGATAAAGCCGCTAGTTTAGACACTTGCTTCCTTGCAGAGATGATGGCTGAAAGAAACATCACCTTGTGGATGAGCGTAAAGAGAGGAATGTCTCTAATGGGTTCAAAGAGCAGTTTCTATATTGCAGAGACTAGATTTAGATCCCATGGAGTCACAGGGAAACAGAGAGATGAGCTACACTGGAGAGGCCAACTGTCTCTGAAACGGAATGCAAAGGGCAGAAACCTGGACCTTTATAGTGCTATAAGCCAAACACTGTTCCAGGAACAGCTGCAGGAAGAAAATTATTCCTCCCATGGAGAAACTCCTCAGGTGTAAACCCCAAGATGGTATCACCAAATGAAGTATGCCTTCCACGTCCGATGATAGACCTTGCGGGAAGTAGACTTCCTGGCTTGTAGAAGTTTTGGAATCACGGATTCAGATGCCCCTGCCAGGAGTCCTTTTGTATTGATATACCACATCCACCTGGGCCAGTCGCAACCAATGAGGATCACCTGAATGCCGTCTTGATTCTGCGAAGCAGACTAGAAAGGCATTGATCAGGGTTTACTGATGCCATGGGTCTATCAGAGCATCCACTGTTTCCTCTAGAGGACCCCTGTCCCTGGAGAAATCCTGTCGAGTTGTTGAACCTGGAGACCAGGATATTCACATCTGGCATCCTTCACCTACAGCACAGGTCCTGGGATACCTGAGTGTGAAAGAACCTAATCCCTGGGTCAGCACTTCTGGCTGGGGAAATCTGCTTGCGGAGTGTCTATTTCTGGAATATACACGCCTGACTAGTATAGCACATGAGTTCTGACCAGAACAGGATTCCATCTACTTCGTACAAGACGTAAAAGGCCTGTTTCCTCCCTAATGATTGATGTACACCGCATGGCATTGTCCAACTAAATTCAAATCGGATGACTATCCAGGAGAATGGTAATTCAAGAATCACTGCGCTAGGTGTGAAAACTAAATAACTAAATAATTAGTTCGACCAGCCGCAACTATGTGTGTAAGTGAACTTATTATATCGCAAGTGAGTTGCGCTCGGTCTCGACAAATATAAATAAATTAAATATGTGTGCTCTATAGGACGTAAAGAAGTTACTAAGTTCAGATTCTACTGTGAAAAAATTCAATTAATAATTTAATTTTTTCACAGTAGAATCTGAACTTAGTAACTTCTTCACGTCCTATAGAGCACACATATTTAATTTATTTATATTTATCCAGGAGAATGCTCCAATATTTCAAAGATACCCCAGAGTTCTAGGATGTTGATCAGGAGATGAGACTCCAACAACTAAGTCCCCTGCACTGACAGGGTGCCCAGGACTACCCAGCCCAACAGGCTGGCATCCGTCAAAAGGATTCTACAAAAGATGGAAATGAAGGACTCCCCCCGACTCCAGAACTGGATTCCTCAGCCACCAAGCCAGGGACAACTTGACAGAAATTAATTTGGTCTGTCGAGAGAATGTTGTGTTAAAGAGGTCTGGAGTGTAACTGGGCAAATGGAACTGCCTTGAAGTAGGCTACTATCAGCCCTGTCTGCAAAAGAGAGCCGGATGACTCCGGCACTGGGGAGTTAGAAGACAGGAGTGTTAGAGGTTTCTTCTATGGAGGATACACTCTGGCCTGCGCTGTGTCCAGAACTAGTCCCAGATATTCCAAGCAATATGTCAGTTCCGACTGTTAACTCAGTAGGAGGTCAAAGTATCCAAAATGGCCATGCCAGCAGCAGGGCTAATACTGGCACCAGCACCTTGGTGAATACTTGAGAGGCCGAAGGACAGCGGCATAAACTGGTAGTGCAGGCGCCCCACAGCAAAGTGTAGAAATGGTTGATGCACTGGAAGGATGAGGACATTTAAGTAAGCATCTCTAATATTCACAGACGTCAGAAAGTTTCCTTGGTGAAGGAAGGTGATGACAAATTCCATGGTGGATTTCATGCAAAATCTCTGAACCCAATTAAAGACATTTAGATCTTTGAGATCCAAGATGGAGTGGATGCACCCCCTTGGATTTGGGAACGGTGAACAGGTTGGAGTAAAACCCCTGATACCATTCTGCCACAGAAACTGGTGCAATAACACCTGGAAAATTCTCTGCAGGTAAATTTTATTTATTTAGATCACTTTAGGATCACTTCCAGGCTACACCCGCAACCTCCAGTTCAGTGGTGGGTGGTTGCAGTACTCCACTTGCCAGGCTGAGGATAACCCCGCCACATAGCTGCAATTGAAGAGACAAAGCTCCAGTGATGTAGAGAAGAATCTTTACCAAAAAAAAAGAGGCATCCATCCTCCTACGATACTAAAAAAACCTCAGGAATGCTTGATATTAGAAGGCCGTGTGTCATCTGTGTGTGTGCCGGTGACCTGTTGAGACTATTCTGATATTAGAAGGGATTATTCTGGGCTGGCCTTCCTGTTTCCTTTTCTGTGTCCCTCACTAGACAAAAACAGAGAATGTGTTTTAAGTGATGTGTTTAAGTTGATCACCAACTTGCCTGCTTAATCCAAAGTAAAGATAATACTAAGAGGATGTGGAGGAGCATCGTCCAACCATTAATAATATCCCCATTTTATAATCTATATGTTGCTCTTACTAAGAGTTATTTGGGAGCAAGTTTAGGTGACCATATAAGCATTGCTTTGCATCCCTCTAATATTGCACTGATGTCAGAGGCCTGGAATTGAGTAATTGGAATTAAATTATTCCTCATTCTTTATAATGTTGCATTTTTTTGATGCTTGTAATCTTATTAGATATCATGTTATAGATTTAATTCAAAAGTTAATAACATTGTTGAATGTCTTCATCCCCCTTAGGTGCAGTATGGACCGGAGATAACAAAGCAGAGTGGGAGTATTTAAAAATCTCAGTTCCGATGTTACTTAGTCTCAGTGTGACAGGAATAGCCTTCTGTGGAGGTACAGTGCATGGCATTCTGTGGTCTGCATGTAGGAGAAGTAATACACTTTTTTAGAATGGATTCTGCACGAATAATTTTCCCTTTGCTGATTTGAGCAGCTGATGTTGGAGGATTTGTTGGAGACCCAGACCTCGAACTACTGGTCCGTTGGTACCAGGCTGGCGCATTCCAGCCTTTCTTTCGTGGTCACGCTATGCAGGATACCAAACGCAGAGAGCCTTGGTTGTTCGGTGAAGAAAATACTCTCTTAATCAGGAAAGCGATACATGAACGGTATACACTCCTTCCATACTGGTACCTGCTGTTTTACAGGGCATACCGCACAGCTGAGCCTGTAATGAGGTGAGGGGGCATACTAGCACAAATATTTCATTTTTGTCAAAAACGATGACTGTTAATAATATTTCTATTTTTCTTTACCTACAAACAGGCCTTTATGGGTTGAATTTCCTAAATGCCAAGATGCCTTTGCAGTGGCAAGTCAGTACATGCTAGGTAAGACCTCTAAATGTTTTATAACAGAATTTATATCCTACCAAAAAAGTATCCTTTCTGGTTGCTGTACAGGAAGGGCTGGATTTTTACTTTCTGTACCCCTTGGCCAAGTTGCGTGTCCCCTTTTCTTGTTCCCAACCCCACTCCAGAACTATGGGGTAAAACATTTTTCTCATAGTTCTCTTTAGTGTCACAGGAGGACATATACTAACATCCTCCCATGACCAAAAACTCAGTAAATGCTGAGAGTGACACAGCCGGGACGGATCCCAACAATACTGTTGAGATCCACCCGCTGGCTGATTGACAATAGGCTCTGCCTATCTAGAGGCAGAGCCAGCTATTGCCGCCCCCTCCTCATCCTTCCCTCCAGTCAACGCTGGAGGATTGGAGAGGGGAAGAGGGGAACCCTTGTGGGTAGCGGTGGCTGAGAGTCACCTCTCTCTTCAGGGTGATGATCAGGAAGTCAGCGAGCTGTGGTATGTGTGTGCTCACTTCCCGATCAATAGAGCCGACGTGTGACAGTTTCAGTGTTAGACATGGGCTCTAACTATGGGGATGAGTGCAATTCACTCACCCCATAGTTCTCCTTTATGGCTGGCTAAAGGAGTCTCTGCTCACCGTATAATATTACAGTCTTTCTCATCCTGGAGCATAAACATCACTTTTATTGTATCTTCTAAAATCATTTATCCAGAAATGTATTAATAAACCCATAGTTAATGTAGCACTCGATATTTACTATAAAGTCTGTCTGTTCCCTATCTGCTTTGTCTGGTCTTCCCTTTTTTCTTAATCATTCCCAGTATTCAATATTCATCTCCTTCTACCGTTTTTTGTGAGGGGTTATCTTACACCTTTGTATTATCTCTATAGAAGTTTCTGACTATACAACTCCGTGTTCCCCTTCACGTGCCAAATCAATAACGTGCCAAATCAAAACATTGTGTACAAAATTCAGGAAAACAACCCTACGTGATTCGACATAAAAAATTGGCTTTGTCAGAGTTACTTTAACATAATGTGCAAACCCAAGTGTATAGTCAAAGGATAAATACAAAACGCATTCCTCTATTAGGGCCACCAGTTATTTGTTATGTTCTGCCCGCTCCTGGCATCAGTGTGGTGCATGCGTGGCACTTTTGCTTCACTTTTCTCCACCTCTTGGTGATATCATATGGCTGCAGTCTCTGCCCACTGTATTGGGACTAGTTCTGAGAACACGTCCATTTACAATAAATCCCTTTATATATTACCTATTCAAAGAACAGCCAATAGGCTTTGTATTTACTTTAGCTAGCCAAAGCAAACCCCTCTGAGTTTTCTACTTCAGTCTCTGAATGCAAAATATGCTCTTTTCATTCAGAGACTGAAGAAGGATTAAGAAAAAGGAAAGACCTAATAAAGCAGATAGGGAACCGACAGATTTTTGAGAGTTGGAAAAAGTGCTTTGTTGACTCTATGTGTAATAATACATTTCTGGATACATGTTTTTCAATACAATAAAAGTTATGTTTTAATGTCTTGTGGAGGTCGATGTGTGGGTGTTGATAAAGTGTGTCATTACCAATTTCAAATAATATAGCTGTGTTATTCCACAAAGGCAAACTGTGTTCAGTAATCAAAACCATAATATATCAATACCAAATGTGGCAGATTAATACCACATAGATAGAACCATACTTAGAACCATGTTAGCATTACTTTACAAAATCTGAAACATATTCACTTAGACAGAATCAGAGCCACATTGACACAGCAAGAGCCAGAAACAGGTATGCAAAGGGAGGCATCAGAAACTTGATGACACATCCAGAATTAGAGAGGTTTTATATGTTGGAAATACAGCAGCATATGCTGATATGTACTAATTGTATTACTGACTGTAGTATGTCTTTTTGAGCTGTAGATGGCAGTGTAGTGCAATGTTAGTCTCTCTTTATGCATGCTTATCTATGATACACAGGAAGTTTTATATATATATATAT